GACTCCAGCCCCCCTGCTGATGGCGCTCCAGCAGAAGCAGCGGTGGCGACAGCGGTGGCGACAGCGGGCCTCGTTACTCCAGAGAACTCCTATCATTTCAGATTCTCTCATATGACCCACGCTGCCAACGAGGAGTAACTGTGTTCAAGTCGTCGCTGTCGTTGTTGTTGTTGTTTTTGTTTTGTATATTATTACAATAGTACAAAAGCCGTAGAACTTTCTGTTTTAGCATACGGTTCTGATGAGGGAGGTGCGGGGGGGGTCGGGGGGGCTGAGGGAGGTGGGTGGGTGTGGTCTGTCATCATGAATGAAGAGCAGGAAATAAGAACCCACACAGATGGAGACGTCCAGCTCCGTACCATTACAGACCAGCAGATCAGATGGTCAGACCGCGTTATTGAAATCCTCTGAAAAAAAAACCCAAACCTCAAAATATCATTACAACTACAACGCAGTTATTATGTAAAAAAAAGGAAATACCTCCAGTAAAACTGTGTAAAACTCAGCCGAAAATTTTAAAACCTCGTCATAGTTTCAGACTCTTTTATTTATTTTAAGACAACTGGGCCACATAAAATAAGGCGGTGGGCCACGTTTGACCCGCAGGCCATGATTTTGACCTACTGTATGTGAACTTCACAATGCTCTGAATAAGACCTGAATATGTTAGAAAGCAGGTTCAACCATCTTATTGGTTCTGGTTAGGAAGTGGCTAATGTTCAAACTAATGTTGCATTAGTTTAGCAATAATATTTTGTGAATATCTAGCGTAAAGAGAGAAAAAAAAACAACTTTCCAATTGCGTTTCTCATTTGGTTCTGTTTTAGCAAAGGTTAGCAAAGTTGGCTAACACATGCAGGACCTGAGGTCCAACCCGACTACAAATCCATGAGGTAGAATTTGTCCAGAACCGTCCTTTAACTTGGCTTTTCCCTCCTCTGCGGTCTCCGTCTTCAGCACTAATGTCTCTCAGTGCATGGTTAACCCTCCCCTCCCCCCCCCCCGTCTCTGCTGACATAATAGTGAAGGATCAGTGAGAGAAAGGTGCGGCGAGCGTCTGTAATTCATCCTCTCCACGGCTCATTTGCTTATGTTACTTCACATCACAGCAGAGATAATTTATCTCTCTCTCCGAGACGGCTCTACAAATTCCCCCGTAATGCTCTCTGCTGCCACTTAGCATATTTTATTGCCCCCGCCTGACGTCTCCCTGGTGTCTCCCGGGTCCCGACTGATCCCGCTTTGCATGGCACAGACGCGGGGAGCTTGTTCCGCTCAATTATTCATCATCATTGGACTAAGTGGTTGTTCTATAAGCATAATAGAAGAGCAGGCGACTGACAGCTCAGCGCTCGTCGAGCGGCGCCGCTCCAGCTGACCGCCTCCCAGATGTTTTCACGTCACACTCGCTGAAGTCTCCCTCTGGGGGGGGAGGGCGGAGGGTTCAGTTCCTGAAGACATTTTTAAATAAAAATTCAACAATGAACAGCTCTGGACCATCTGGGGAGGGGCGCCCCCCATTTTGGAAACCTTTTAAAAAAAACAGAAAAAAAAAATCAAAATTATTTTTAAAAAATTCAAGAATGCTTAATGGAGTACTAAGCATTCCTGAATTAAAAAAAAAAATTTTTGATTTTTTTTTTTCTCAATAATATAAAGCATGGCTGATCTGATGAAGACTAATCAACTATGTTAATAACGTTGTTCCTCGTTTTTCACCTTTGTTAAAGCGCGTAATTTAACCAGTTACATGCGTCAGGTGGAACTTTTTTCCAGGAGGAAGAAACTCATCTCTGTGATTCCACCTCTCAGTCGGACCAATCTGGGTCTTTAGCCATGGTGTCCAGACAATATCGCTGCCATTTCTGGCCCCTATTTTTCCCGCTCTTCGTGCAGTGAATTGAAAAAAGTGGGAAATGTGTTTGGGAAGTCGTGACTCGTGTCGTGTTCAGAGCTCACACACTGATGAACACGTGATGGAGCAGAACGGAGCGAGCGCAGCACAGACACTAAAGTCTGATTAAAATCACCTGCTGTTTCTTTTTTTTTAAATCAAATTTGTAGCAACAACCAGTTCAATGATCGATGCTGCCGTTTTATTTACGACGAAGGGAACACACTTCGTCTGTAGGGGCAGCGGCGAGGCAGGTTAAAGGGCGTCAACAGTTTAATTGATAACGGACAATAATCGATGTCAGCAGATTTACAGCTGTTTACACCGAGGTTCACTTGTTCTCAGAGTCGGCCGTGGGGATCTCTGTACCACAAGACCAGGAACGTCTCAGTGGGAATGAGGGTCAAGAGAAACGGTGGGAAATGACGGGGATGGACCGACAGAGACGGGAGGAGTCAAACGACTGACCTCCATTTGAGGAAACTGCATTTGAACGGCACTAGAAGTTGACGATTCTGAGTGAAGTTTGGTCAAAGTGATGGCAGCACCAATGGAAATTAATATAAAATAATATAATTATTATTCAATTATATAAATAAAAGAGAAACTGAATATTTTATTTTAATTTTTAATAATTTTAAATATTGTTTTCAATGAAATAAATCACTAAGTAAGTGTGAATTATTCAAAATTAATTGTGATTAATTGTGATAAATCAACAACTGAACATTTATAGCAGACAGACACAGCGTTGGTTGAACTTAAAGAAAAGACTGCAGGGAAAAAAAATAATTAGAATAATTTCTCTGAATGGAAATAAACAACAAAAATAAATGCATTTATGGAAAAAAGCGAGAGTGGACGGGAGGAAAAAAACATTCAGGCTTTTTTATCGACAGTCACTGTAGTGGAGACGGGCAGGATAAAAAAGACTCATTGATTCTCCGTGGAGATTAGAGAAAAAAAAAAAAAAAAGAGAGAAATCTGGGGCCAAAATAATTAAGGTTTAAAAACACATTGAGCTGCAAACGTCCATCAAAGCTGCGTCTCGTTCTAATAAAAAAGGTCATTTCAGAGCAAAGATGGAGGTCAAAAGACATTTTCTCTTTTTCTGTTCTTTTTTTATTTAAGGACGGATAACCTTTTGCTCGGAGAGCAGAGTGATTATAAAGATGGTTTGACAAATTCTAACTGAACACTGGCCTGAATGGATGAAAGCAGCTCACAATTAACTATAATGGCAGCCCAGATAAAAGCTGCGTCTGCTCCATATTTCTGCAGATTTCTCCTTTGTCTGAAAAGTTTCCAGAGCTTGTTTGCTGGACCCCCGGCCTTGTTTAGTGCCTCTAGTAGCCTGTGTTATCTTTTTTTCTTTTTTTGTGTGTGTGTGTCAGGAATAAGGAGGGGCGGGACCCTCTGATAGGACGGAGGGCACGTCTCCCAGCCCTGCGTCTGAATAATGCTGCGGAATAATGAGGCGGGGAGCAAAGGCTGTAGCCCAGGGCTCTGACCGCGTCTGTGACCTGATTATGTCAGCCGGCGTCAGCCGCCGAGACACTACAAAAGCACAGAGCTTCCCGTCAAGTCCGTATCCACGGCGATCTGTCCCCAGCGCTGCTGCAGGCGCCGCGGCACTCGGGGGAAGTCCACGCCGTCTCATTAGTGACATTTAACATCAAGTGTTCACCCGCGGTAAAACACTTTCAGTGTAAGCGATAAGACCTGGTGCTGCGGTGGAACTCCGGCCGCACCAACTCCCAGTCTGGTTTTTAAAGGGGAGGATAAAAAAAAAAAAAACCCGGTGCAGTTCACCTCGCTGCCTGCAGCCTGGGCGAGTGAAGACGAACACGGGGGGGTTGAAGTAAATAACACAGAGGGCATAAAAGGGCGTAGTGTCCATACAATCTTCCTTTAATATGTGCTGTGTGCACCTGCGATAAGATGATTCATTAGATCGAGCCTCACGACGACAAGCGTCATCGTTCAAACCTTTGGCTACTGATGGAACAATCCTGCAGCCACCCCGTGAATATGACAAGGTCAGCGGTTTAGACTCTGTCAGATAACAGCAAGAAGGAGCTTTGCTTATTCCCCCCCCCAAAAAAAAAAAGAAAGTGTAATATACGGTACGGAGGTGGCGGCCGGGACCGCAGACGCAGAGCTGGAGGTCAGGCCCGCAGTGGAAATCCATGAGGAAAGATCAGGAATACTATACAAATGTTTTAATTTGGAGCAGCAACATCACAGAAGATAAATGTCGCAGGAACACATTTATCAGAACATTCATCACAGCCAGCCTTCCTCCCCGGGTCTATATTCAATTAGTTAGTGTGGAGTCTCATTCAAACAGGTTTAAACCGGTCTTAGACTTGAGAGAGTTTGACTTGTTTAAGGAGTTTCAGCTCTGGTTGAACTGAAATTTGAATCAACGAATTTTTAAACTTTTCTTCCTTCTTCAAATCCGGCACTTGTGCCGTTTTACTTTGGAGTAAAAAAAAAAAAAAAAAGTTTTATACTGAAGACAGTGACGTAGCTGCAGTACTGGCAGAATTATTTAGATTTTTAATATTTTATATTTTATAATTTTTTAGATCTGCATTCGTTTGACAATAAAACCCAGGTGTAAGTCAGGATAAATGGATTTGACATGACGTTAGTTTAGATCAGTGGTTCTCAAACTGTGGTACGCGTATCACCAGTGGTACATGAGCGCTCTCTAGTGGTACGTGGGGAAGATTCATAATTTCACATTTACATTTTCAATTGAATAAATCTGAAACATACCGTGCAGTTCAACAACCTCAAATGTTGATATTTGACAAACCCATGGTCAACTCCCTAACACTCAGGATCAAAGGTTCGGGTGTGAAGGACTCACCTGTCCTTGTGCGTTGGTGACCAGCTGCCCAGTGGCTCCTTGCAGGTTTGACAGAGCGTTCCCAAACACCTGAGACCCAGCGATCGAACCCATGGCGGCCGCGGCTGCCACCGCCGCCGGACTGGCCAGAGGATTCAGCTGCAGAGGAAAGAGAGGAAACAGGAAGTCACTTCATCAAAACCCACCTCTGTTTGTGACAGCGTTTGTTTTTTTTTTCTTGGCTAATTTCATAAAACAACGGTTCCAGGTGAATTGGGTGTGTTCTCTCTGTTGTTGTCGAGGTCAGAAAAGGTCAAACGCTGTGTATTACTGTAGGAACAGCTGCACCGTCCATCATACAGTTCCCTCAGG